AAGACGGATCTCGGAGAGCAACCTTCCAGACAGTATCAGACCCACCAATGGGCATCTGATTGATGGTTGCTCTGATCTCAGAAAGCAATACTGTTTCTGGTCGCATTTTTTATTTCCAAGGAAAACCACATTATAAAATCTTGTTAAAATTCATAACCACCAATGCCATGGCATCCATAAAACCCGTCAGAGATTGGAGAAAAGTGAGACTGGGGAAGGGCTTGTTCAAGACCACATCATTAATACACAGTGCCCATTAGGCGTCTTTGAACACAAAACACTGTTTCTTTAGAAGGACATTTACACTCTGAGGAGTTCTGTGCACAAATTGTAGTCTTTCTCATAGATCCCTAAACTGGCTTATATATGCACTGCAGGAACTTCTGAAAGTTCTCCAAGGGCCCATTCACCCCTAGAGCCCACCTTAACCTTGTCTGAGTTATAGTGGAGACTTGGGCATGTATAATTTGGGGCAGACAGACTGGGGTGGGTTAAAGGACTAAGAACAAAGAAGAGCTTGAACAGGAATAAGGAATGATCAAAAAAAAAAAAAAAGAAAGAAAAAAAGTCCAAAAGACTAAAAGCACAAGAAATCAGCACAGTTTTCTGCAGGCTGGCTCCATGCCATCTATGCCTTTGGAATTGCTACTTTTATTCATGATTAAGCTGATGTGTGGCTTTCCTGCTGATTTCTACACGGAGATTATATATATACTTAAAGCAAAGTAAAAACATTAAGAACAGTTGCTTTGTGGGAGACTAAGTCAATTACCACACCAGACTGGTTATGCCCCTTTTCTACTCTGGGGGATAAAGAATCCTATCATTTTATAGAGGTATCCAAAGAATTCCAGTAGTTAATGGCAATTTTAGGTAGGGACCCAATTATATCTCAACATCAATTTTCAATATGTAGTCTGATGACATCACGGAAATCTTTATAATAAATGTAAAACAAATTTCTTTAAAAAATTATGACAATGTCTAGCACTGCATTCATTCCAAACTTATAGAAGAAAAAATTATATTTTCTGCACACACACACACAGGTTATTCAGTTTGTTCTAGTTCCCAAGCTCTCATTTTGTGCACCCTTGCCTGCCTCACAGGCATCCTTACAAGTGAAGTGACTAATCCAAAGCTAAAGCAGTCTGCCTAGATTTGAGGTCCTAGATCATAGCATACTTTCTGAAATGCTGGTATCTGAGTGTTTATATTGTTAAAGTTATATGAGATGTTTTCTACAGAATGTTTTGGGGTATTTAAATTTATATTATCTATAAGAATAAAATTATCGCTAAAACTACTGAATACAACCATCGGTTCAGTATTGGTTGAGTTAAACATATTATATTCACTACTTGGAAGAAGAAACTATTCAAATCCTGCTTTGAGATAAATAAAAAGAAATAACTAATAAAACTGGACTGTTGGCTGGTCTGGACTGCTAAATTAAGCCATTTTAGAAGAGAAGGAAGTATGGCTTTTCTATATGCTGTAATTTCACAATTAACTCTATCAAAATGTTTAATTTTAAGTTTCCAACTGATATTTCAAATGAGAAAATCGTATAGCTACCACTTAGAAAGAATTTTTCCCCCTCATAATAGGCTACTAGATTTCTTTACCTGGACTCACTTCCTGAGGCAAAAAACTTCATGGCCCTGAAATTATGTAGCAGACCATTCACAAAAGCTCAGATGCACAACTTACACCATAAGGAATGCAACAAACAAATGGACAAATGTGGAATCCTTACTCTTCAATTATCAAACAAAGGAAGACTGTTCAGAGATCATCTTACTCAAAATTTCCCAAAGGAGGTTCCATGAAACACTATTTTTCCAAAAATGTTGTCCACAATGGCAGGGGATTTAATAAGTCTGGGAGCACTACTAGAGAGTCATAATTATATCATATCATTAGTGGAAGGCATACAAAAAGAAACTGCTTTTTAGGCAGATGCAGTGGCTCATGCCTGTAATCCCAGCTACTTGGGAGGTGGAGATTGGTAGGATCATGGTTCTGCTGCGGGTTTTTAGCCCAGGCAAAAAAACTAAGCAAAACTTCATTTCAACAAAGAAGTCAGGCATGGTGGTACACATTTGTAATCCCAACAAAATGGTAGGTATAGGTAGGAGGATTGTGGTCTGAGGATGGCCCCACAGGGAAAAACATAAGACCCCATTCAAAACACAACTGAAGCCAGAAAAAGAAAAAAAGGCCTGGGGGACGTGGCTTAAGTGGCAGAGTACCTGCCTAGCAAATGCAAGGCCCTGAGTACTGCCAAAAAAAGGAAACAGAAAAAGAAAATAAACTCTTTTAAAAAACAAAAAAAACCCCTATTTTTCTCCAACCTATTAGAGGACAGAACCCTTTAGGCTGTAGGTATTTATTAAAATCCTGTGTAATTAATGTTTGGTAGAAGAAAACGAGTATAGACAGGCTAGGTGATAAAACTAGTTTGTGGGTAAACTAAAGACAGATCTCACTTTCAAGACCCTACTGAGGTATTGTCTCAAGGCTCACAGACTACAAGAGCCACATCTCGGAGACCATCTAGCCCAAAACTCTCCTGTCAAAGGTGTAGAGATACAGTCTCAAAGAAACAAAGCAGCTGGCAACAGGACACATAAACCCCATTCCTCCAGCAGTGCCAGTGCCTTGCTCTAGTTCCCAATACACAACAGCACACTAACTCCTGCAAGGCCAACACTCTTTGCCTCTGAGGCACAGGAGTCATGGACAAGAGGCATTTTAGCTATTAAGAACCCATTAAAATATTCATCAAACCATAATAACTGTCAATAGATATTTTAAATCAATTAAACATGATTGTTTTTACTTACAAATGTCATCCACTGTGACAGGGAATCAATGTTTCAAGCTGTTGAACAGGTCATCATCCCTGCCCTGTTGGATGACACCTGTAAATAAAATAAATCTATTTTTGAGTGAGATTTTTAAGCCAACTAGATTTCCAATGCATGCAGTTTAATGCAAAGAGTAATTTTTAAATGATCCTTAATAAAATACTGCTGGAGAGAGACACATTCCCGTGCCAACTATTTCCCTGTAAAGAGTCACCACTGGCCATGGGTACAGTACAGTAATGTGTAATGTTGATGGAATACAAAGGGAATCAAGGCTTTCAGCCTGAAAAGGGGCCTCTAGGCGTTAGCTCCCCTGGTCTCCTGCCTCTGTGAATATCAGTTCTACTTTGTAGGAAGGACAAGCAAGGCTCTGTCAAGTTAGCCTTAATGTTAAATACCTAAGTGTCTTTAGCTCAAGTTCCTAGGAGAAGAAAAATATATACATAAGACATTAGCATAGGTTATCATTAGGCTGATAAACTTTGAGAGACAAACATTTCACAAATGTTGACTTAGAATATTCTAGCACATCCACATAAAACACAGTAATAGATATCCAAAGTACAAGTGTTATAGAAAATGCTGTGGGTAGAAAATCAAGCAACAGTGGGAAAAAAAGTATGAGACAATGAAAACAATATGGAATATAGCATGCATTTATCATTTTAAACTCAGGTTACTATTAAACAAGATTTGTGGTTCCCAACCAATATAAGCATATGAAAAACCATTTTTGGACATATTTTTTACGGTCTATGATTTAAAACGGTTTCTTGTAGCCATAGCACACCAATGTAAAGTAAGATCCTCCAGAAACTAGAATTTAAGCTGGACAATGAACATTCTAAATTTCCATTCTGTACTTAATTATTTCAAAGTAACTAAGAGTATTTTAGGATGCTGCCTTGAAGTAATATAGCAGTTATAACAACATCACAAAACTCATACTGAGTGCCAAGCACTATTTGAGTGTTTTATGCATGCAAATTCATTTAATCCTTACAACTTGGTTATTACAATTTTACAAATATGATGATCAAAACACAGAGAAACTAAGTAACTTGCACATAAACCTATTTGGTGACAGAGTCCAAGTTCAAAATCTAGTATATTTAATTTAACCACTGAAGATTCTTAAAAATATAAACATGAATTAATATAATTCCAATTAGAATACATAAAGTTCCCTTGACTAAATCTCACACAACATGAAACTTTAGGAAATTCTTTCACTCTTGGGGGATAGCTATAAGGGAGAAGGTGGGGACAATTTCAAAAGTAAACTTTTTTTTTCCTTTTGGCATCATTGGGGTTTGAACTCAGGGCCTCACACTTGCTAGGCACTTGCATCTGAGCCACTCTGTCAGCCCTGTTTTGTGTTGGATTTTTTTGAGATAGAGTCTCATGAACTATTTGCCTGGGGTGGCCTCAAACTTTGCTCCTCCTGTTCTCTGCCTCCTGAGAAACTAGGATTACAGGCGTGAGATTCCAGCACCTAGCTTTAAAAGTAAAATATACTTAATGCCAAAGAATTAAGACTTCTGATGTTTATCTGAAAATTATTACAGTTAAAACATGACAATTGGAAATCTTGTTTTTTACAATGAAAGAAAAATCTTCCTCCTACTCAAGATGGACGATTCCCAAAACAGTACAACAGTTATTAAAGGACTGAAGTAAATCTTGTGTACTAAAAAAATTAAATAATATTGCTAAAGAACAGAACTATTTATAAAGTGAATTATCTTTAAGAAAAACAAAAAAGTAACTGTGGTAATGTGACTGCCCGCAATTATTTCATGTAATGGTAGTTATCTAATTTTGATTGTAAGTTATGCTTTTGACCAAAACCCCTAAACTTTTTTTACTAGAGGCCATTTTTCCAATAGCTTTTTAAAATTGAAACTGATAAAATAGGAAACAATCAGGAATACCAAGAAACACCTGACATATTTAAAATGAACAAGAAACAGACACATGCAAAGCCCAGCATCACAGAGACTTGACATTAAGAACAAATGCATTTACTTTTCAAACTACTCGTTGAGACATGACTCCTGGCAATAACGGCCTTCTAAAGCGGACCCCAAACAGAAAAAGATAAAGTGTGGTTTTGTGGTAGCTTACCCTTTTCTCTGACACCCCATCCTGGCCTGTAGCTTCTCTCTCATCATGTATCTCTTTCAGGACTGCCGTATGTTTTTTGTATGCTGGCTCTCTGTTTAGGGTTGTGTATCCTACGTGCTCATAAATTGGGTTTATCGTCATCTTGGCAATGTATTCTGCTGCCTTGGTTTCAATATAGAGAGTAATCAAGCCATCAGTCACCAGATCGTGGATGGACTCAAAGCGTTTCTCCCCAACAAAGTGCTTTCCATCGTAGTAGAGCCTGAAGTTTCTGGTTTGACTTCCAAATCTGCCTCAATGAAATGGGAAAAATGTTTTTAAGAAAGGTAAGCAAGTGAACTCTTTCTGAAAAAACCAAAACCCCAAAAACCACTGCCTGCTTTGTATAGGTCTCTTTGTTTAAATAAGCCATGTCCAATTGCTTTCAATCACCTGTAACAAATAAAATCAAACTTTTGATCAAAAAAATGAAGTTACAATAACTAGGGATAGCTAGTCAGAAATATGTTAACTCTAAAAGGAAAAATTTGTTAGCATTTAAAGGTACTTCATTATGCTTGTAGTATAGTGGGAGAAAATAAATTTCCTATCCCATTAAAACACAGCCAATATTCAGTTAGTTAACTATAATATATGAAATTTGCACACTGACATTTTTTTTTCAAGTTGATCAATAAAAATATTCAATGTACTTTAGACACCAGCATTCATGTCTTTCAATGGGAGAGCCCCACTTAGGGCTCGCCTGAGTATGATGCCAGCAATCACGAGGACAAGAGCTGGCTCCAGAACCTGAGCTGCACAGGCAGGATGGCACAGAAACACATTCTTGCTACTTCTGGTCATGGGCCAAGGACTTCGCATTTCTTTTTACACAGCCATTTTCTTATGTCTGCTGGTTAAGTATGCGCAAAATACTCACAATATACAGGGCAAACAAGTCATAACAATCAGATTACAAAAGTTCTGTTGTCAGTTTGAGTCATGTTTGAATGACATGTTTTAACAACTGGAGAAGAATAGTTGCCTTGTATAAAAATTTCAGTATTTGGGTTCCTACAGCAAAACTTCTTCAGAAATGGACCAAGTTGACATCAGTGTCTTTGTCAGAAGATACAGGCAGCTTTAAAGAAGGCTGATGCCCAGTGTCATGGTGTCCTGCCAGTAGGCTGAGTGAGCCTAATTAAACACTAAGCAAACCAGAAAGGATATATCTAATTTCACTGTTAAAAACACACAGGAACAGAGAGGAACTAAAATAATTTGTTTTTAAAGTGTTTAGTGGGACTGAACTGGAAGCTTGTTATTATAACATTATTCTAGTACAGATTATATTTCAAATGGGTAAGTTCTTATTGTGTCCTTTAAAAAGGAAACCAAGTATTTTTTTATAATGGCCTGAGATATCTGTTTCTGTGGTTTGAATTTAGACCTTAATAATCATTCAATCCAGAATCTAATGTAATGCCCATGCTGACCCCTTTAACATAATCCATTTTTTGGTTCTTCAAAAACAATCAAATTTTGATTTATACTGAAGTGAATGGCCCACAGAATTAGACTTCCTTATTCTTCATTTTCCTCTAAAGTTAAAGATGTATTTCTCCCAAGTAAATTTTTATAACTCTAAAATTTAGGAAGGTAAAATTTCTTATGCCAATGTTAAGTATTAGTTTTCTGTTTACTATATAACTTATCATTTCTTTTTTGCTAATAGGCATTATCTGCTATTTACAAATAAACATACAAAGCCACTTGAAAATGTATGCTCTTACAAGAAGAAACACACATGGCATAGTATGTCACTAGGCCCCCTTTAAAGTGCACTTATACACGGCATTTCAAAGAAGGTTCAGACCTTTGTACTCCTGCCAGGGCTTATGACTTTATGGCAGGCGTTTCCACAGTGGCTATGGCCTTAAAATAGCCTATTCAGGCAAGGGTGTCAGTCACTTGCCACACACTGTCTTCTGAAATCTGCAAAGTATGCAGACACAGAGCACAAAGGGAAGGTGGCTGGACTGGCTTCATATAAGCTGGGCAAGATGTGACTGAAAGTGACTCTATGGCTAGACTTCTAGTGCTTTACAAGGAGCTATTCCTAATCTGGCCAAGGAGAGGCTTTCTGGTTATCTGTAGGGCACCAGGTGAAAAAGAATCAGGTTGTCCTTTTCTCTTTCTCAGCTCAGCAACTTCAGGAAAGAGCTCCTCCTCAGGATTCCTGGTTCCTCCTCAGCGTGCATTTCAGCTCAGTATGCCAGCCTCAAGGGTGCTATCAGATTACTGAAATAACTCATAATGTGGTTTGATTAAAACTCAGCCCCAGACGACAAGAAAATGAATTTCCATTTTGGAATTTTGACTGAGTCTTTTCTTTAGGATTTCTCCTATGGGAACTGCACGTTTTCCCGTGTACTCTAAACTAGCACTCTTGTGTTTAGGAAGCTACATAAAGAACAGCATAATGGTGTGAACTGCCAGAGACTGTGCCAGTTTCTCAATTTCATCTGAAAAATGTGTAGTACTTCATGGAAACACCAGTGGAGAAAGAAGATCTCTGAGAAAGGTGGGGAATGGATGATTTGTTCTACCTACGAAGTGCCTAAAGAAGGAAGATGCCAGATCTAAGGATAGAGAAAAAAAAAAAATCCTCCCTTTTAAAAGTGTTCTGCCAGCAGATTGTTACCGACTCAATAAGCATTTAACAAAATATCCAGACACTGTATTTAGTATTAGGAAGCTCAGTAATCACAATGGGAGATAGATAAAAAATAAAAGCAAGACAAAGGTATGAGACAATCAATTTAAAAAAGTTTACCTTCAGATTCAGTACTGGGGTTTGAACAAAGGGTCTCACACTTGTTAGGCAGGCAGGCATGACCATACCTTCAGTCCTTTATTGTTTTAATTATTTTTTGGATAGGGCCTGCATTTTTGTTTGGGCTGGCCTCAAACAGCAATCCCCTATGTCTCCCATGTAGCTGACTGGATTACAGACATGCACCACCATACCCACCAAAATGTGTATAATCTTGTTCTTACACAGGGAAGTTAAATTTCTATAAAATGATTATGGAACAAAGGAAATCCAACAAATTCCTCACATTATAAAAAATCAAGAAACTCATTGCTTAATAAGATCTCAGAGCCCCTCCTATATCCAAGCAAAAAAGTACCCTTGTAGTTTTGAAATAGAATTTGACCAGGGCAGGCAAGGGTGGGTCCTACGTATTTAAAAGTTAGGATGTGGGATTACATGGATGTGAGTTTACATCTTGAATCTGCTACTTCCTAGTGGGGTGACTTTGGGAAGATCATTCTACATCACCGGAACCCATATGGCTATGATTGTATCAGATCTTTAAGTCAAAGCTAAATACACAATAGGCTCAATGAATGGTAGTTCCTCTTTTCTGTTAGCTTAGGCCCCTGCAGAGAAGGATGGAGTGAGTTATCAAACAATAAGGTAAGAGAAAAGATAGTCAATAAATGTGTACAGAGATGACTGAATGAGTAAGTGGCTACAACTGGCTATATAGGAACACGTCCACCGTGGTTAATTTCATAGTCAACAAAAGGCTTGCAGGAGCTCTTTGTGAATTTTTTTTCCTGGATGTCCTGGATTGTTAGAGTAGACCTACTACAGAGTGCAAAGTAGGGAGAAGCAAACCAACTGGACCTTGCCACTGTGCTCCGACCTGTGAATTCAAAGGAGAAATACCAATAAGTAACTTTTATTAAAAGTAGGATATATTAAGTGGATCTAGTGACAACTACTCATCTCTGGACTAGAAGTACTGATTTCTAAAACCTCTGAAAGCTGAACCATTTCTATTTTCTTTTCCTATTTTCCAGTTATTTGCCTCTGTCCTGGACTAACCGCTGTTCTTCCTTGGTAAACAAGTTTGAAACTGTAATATGCCCAACTCTTGCCTAGATAGAGTTCAACAAGATGAAAGCTCATTTTTTCCCAAGTGGTACTGTAGTGACCAAACAGGAAAGGAAGACAGGATAACATGCTTTGAACTGCTACTGTTGTACATAATTGCCACTTTCTAGAAAGAATATTTTCTTCTCCAGTGATTACACATTTTGGTTTCCATATTTTAGGCTGTTTAATGCTGTGCCCACTTTCATTCAGATGAATTTAAAAATATAGTTCTAACATTTAGTTTTATAAAATGAACACATCCTTAATACCATCCTTTCTGTTTTTTTAGCAAGTGAATCAGACTCATAAAAACAAATTCAGTCTAGAAGCACAAAATGAAAATATATATACAGAATAGCTCTGGAATGTTACTTTACTTTTTGTAAAACTATTAATTAGTTTTGATTTGAGGCCAGTTATTTGGAAGTATTTCTTCAAAGGAAAGATCCAAGCTAACAGATGTTTTCTGTTAATAAACAGAAAATGAAACATATACAACACACTTGTCTAAGCTAATAATAATGTAAGAAGTATTTCCAGCAACCAACTTACAAAAAACCATTTTTGTTTATCACAAATATGTATCTGTTTGTTGTTTACCATGAAAGAAGCTAAGCTAATCTTGAAATCAATACAAATATAATATAAATGGATACGATCATAAGTACACTCTTGGAAGACAGGCTAAAACAGCAATAAGAACGTGAAGTATTCCATCAAATACTAAAAAGTCAATGTAGAGGCATTCTATGAACTAAGGAAAGCTAAAGGAAGAGAGAGCATAGCTATATTCAACTTTGTTCAGACTCCCCCTCAAAGCTTCTGGGGACAGTGCTGAACCCCAGCCACTGGAGCAGAAGATGCAGCTTTGTTCACTGGGTGGACAAGAACAGCAGACAGGGTTGAACACAGGTAATGCAGAGTTGCATGGATTCTGAACGCTCAGACCCAGCATTGTTACCTATGATTGCACAAAGTCATTTGTCATTCACATTGCTACTCTAGTCTAAGGCTCTCTGAAGTAGACTGACATTCATGATTCCTCACTCTGAAAGATATATATTCTAAATTATAGGACTTCTGATGGTCTTTTTGGACCTGTGGCTTTAAATCAGTACAGGTAGTCAGTGACTATGTCTTTGTAACTACATACTCCTGGATTCACATACCATGATAGTTCATTTCATGTGTTTGTAAGATCCTATCAGATTACTTTTTCTTCCTGAAAATCAATGGCTTACTCCTACCTCTAAAAGGGTTCCAACACTTTAGCAAGCCCTGAGTCCTTGAGAATCGACTGCTAGCGTTACCACTTTTAAAGCACCAGAAACCTGCATGTGATGCCCTAAGTAAAGGAC